CAAGGAAATGAATGAAAGAAATGAAAGCGAGGACAAAGAAATGAGACAAGCAATCAACAAACTGAAGAAAGAAAATGAGACATTAAAAAAGGAAATAGAAGAAATGCAGGCGATGAAAAGGCCACTAGAAGAGATAAAGAAGGCGGGAAAAGTAATGAAAACAGAATAGATGTAGTGGAAGAATGAATCAGCAGCTCGAAGACACTGAAACAAAGAGAATTAAAAAAGAAAAAGAAAGAGAAGTAAAAAGGAAAAGGAATGAAGAAACACTTCAAGAGCTATCTGACACCATTAGGAAAGGAAATATCAGAGTTATAGGTATCCCAGAAGGCGAAGAGAAAGGCCAAGGAATAGAGAAAATATTCACAGAGAGAAGAGACCTTCCCTAATTTGAAGAAGATGAAAGTAGACATCCAAGAAGCAAGAAGAACACCAAACTACTATAGTGAGAGGAGAAAAACAGCAATATATATTATTATAAAACTTCCAAGAATACAAGACAAGGAAAAGATAATGAGAATGACAAGATGGGAGAAAAAAAATGACGGATAAAGGGAAACCGATCCAGATAAAATCAGACTTCTCTGCAGAAACACTACGGGCAAGAAGATAGTGGAGGGACATACTCAACAAACTCCAAAGTATTAAATGCCAACTAAGAATACCCTATCTTGCGAAGCTCTCCTTCCTCTACGAAGAAAGAATAAGGACATTCTCAGGCAAACAGAAACTCCACAATTTCATCATGACTAAACCCACACTCAAAAAAATACTACAAGAAGCCCTCAAACCAAATCCAACAGAAAAATGAACAAGAACAGTTCAAAACAAGGAATAAAAATACAGAAGGAACAAAATGGCAAATGTTGGTGCCAGTATAACAATATTATCTCTAAATGTTAATGGCTTAAACTCATCAGTAAAAGACACAGGGTTACAGGGTGGATAAAAAAAAAACAGAACCCATCATACTGCTGTCTGCAGGAAACACATGTAACTACAAAGATAAAAACAGACTGAAAATAAAAGGATGGAAAAAAATCCTACAAGAAAATGAACCAAAAAAGAGGGCAGGAGCAGCTATACTTATATCAGATCAAATAGACTTCAAACTAAAAAAAGTTACAAGAGACACAGAAGGCCACTACATTATGATTAAGGGGACAATACAACAATAAGATATAACAATCAATAACATATATGCACCAAATGAAGGAACACCAAAATATATCAGGAAACTAGTATCATCTATGAAAACATATATCAGAGAAAATACATACATAGTAGGAGACTTCAATATGCCACTCTCCACAATGGACAGGTCTACAAGTCAAAAAACTAAAGACACTGAAGCTCTGAACAAGGACCTGGACAACATGGGCCTAACAGACATCTATAGAATACTGCACCCCCAAAAATCTGAGTACACATTTTTCTCAAATCCATATGGATCATTCTCTAGGATTGACCACATACTGGGTCACAAGAAAAATATCGATACACTAACTTCGAAATCATGCCAACTATTTTCTCCGACCATGAAGGAATCAAAATAGAAATAAACCATATGAAGAAGGCAAGAAGCCCACCTACCATGTGGAGACTGAAACCCACACTACTGGAAGACCATTGGATCAATGAAGAAATAAAAAAATACCTGGAAAAGAACGACAACGACGACACACATCTCCAAAATTTATGGGACACATTAAAAGCAGTTATAAGAGGAAAATATATAGCAATACAAGCTCACAAAAAGAAGTAAGAAATAACTCAAAGAAACAATCTCATGTCCCACCTTAAAAAATTGGAAAAAGAACAACAAGAAATAACCCAAAAGCCAGCATAAGACAAGAAATAATAAAGTCAAATCAGAAATAAATGAAATGATGTTAGGAAAACAGTTCAAAAAAAAATTAATGAAAACAAAAGTTGGTTCTTTGAGAAAATAAAGATAGACAGGTCACTAGCCAGGCTCACAAAGAAAAAATGAGAGAAAGCACAAATAAACAGAATCATAAACAAAAGAGGAGAAATAACAACATATCAGCAGAAATTAAAAGAATAATAAGAGAATACTGTGAGCAACTATATGCAAACAAGTTGGACGATTTAACAGAAATGGACAAATCCTACAACTCTACAACCACCCAAAGCTAGATAAAGAAGAATAGAACAACTAAACAGGCTAAGCATGGAAAATGAAGAAGTAATCAAAACCCTCCCCAAAAATAAAAGCCCAGGACAGGGTGGATTTACAAATGAATCTTCCCAAACATTCAGAAAAGTACTAATGCCTATTTTACACAGACTCATCCAAAAAAATAAAAAAAGAAGGACAATTACCACATACTTTCTACAAAGCCAACATCACACTAATACCAAAACCTAACAACAACAACAAAAAAAATGCAAAATCTCCCTAATGAACAATGATGCAGAAGTCCTCAACAAAATCTTAACCAACAGAATCCAACCATACATTAAAAGAATAATACACCATGACCAAGTGGGCTTTATCCCAGG